CGCCCACCCCGAGGCCCGCCCCCGAGGCCCCAGCAGCTCCCGGCCGGTGAGCTCCGGGTCTGGGCAGCTGCAGGGCCCCGGCCCAGTACTTGGGCAGCAGCCATCCATCGTAGCCGGCTGAGATGCCGGCCACACCGGGGTCCCCACCCCTTCCAGCCCCTCCCAGCCTCAGGTTATATAGGTCACCTCCGACAGTAGCCGAGGCTTCTCCCTCCTCTCTTGCCGGACCCTTTACTGGATGGTTTTCTGGCAAAGTCTAACACCGGGTACCCGCCCTCTGGCTGGGTCACCTCGCCCTGGCTGGTGTCCCCTCCTCTAGCAGCCCAGGACCCCTCAGCTCCCAGGGCTCTACCTGACTGGGGGCAGGGGGGTAGCAGGTGCCAAACCCAGTGCTTCCCTGTTCAGCCAAAGCACAGGCAGCTCTGGGAAGAGCATCTGCTCTGCTCATTCCAGATGAAGAAAGACAGAGGCAAGTCACATGCCTGGGACTCAGGAGTGGGCACGCTCTGCAGCCAGATCTCCTGGGGAGCGGCCACCCCAGAGAAGAAGGGAAACTGATGCCCACATGAGGCTCTGGGACCACCCAGGTCATTCACCTGACCAGTAACTTCCTGGCCTCAAGGGGCCTTAGTCCTTGTGGGTGGGGCAGGAGGGGAAAACGAGGCACGGTGGACAGCAGCCTGGAAGTCAGGACACAGAAGCATCGTCTTCTTTGCTCTAACCCTGTCAAAAACAGCTTCTCCATCTGACCTTGCCCACTGGCCCCTAACAATCAGTGTGTGAGACCAGACATCATAATAATAAATTTAAAAAACAAAAATGTACCCTGGAGAAACAAATACTTGAAAAATGGCCCCTCTAGGCAAAAAGTTTATCTACAAGGATAAACATCTGTGACTGGAGGAATTCCTTATCTCAAGGGTAAACACCATTTTGGCAGGCTGAGAATGTGGCTTAGCAGTAGTAGCATGCTTGCCTCGCCTGCATAAAGCTCTGGGTTTGATTCCTCAGTACCACATACATAGAAAAAGCCAGAAGTGGCCCTGTGGCTCCAGTGTAGAGCACTAGCCTTGAGCAAAAGAAGCTCGGTACAGATCAGTTTCAGAGACCCTGAGCCCAAGGGGTCGAAGTGTGTCAAGGAGGTGATTAAGAGCAAAGACAGCCCGGTGCAGTGGCTACCTGTCATCCCAGCTACTCAGGAGGTGAGATCTAAGGATCCTGGTTTGAAACCAGCCCAGGCAGGAAAGTCGTGAGACTCATCTCCAATAAACCAGTCAAAAAACTCAGTGCTTATCTTATATAATCTGACATATGTTTCTGCAGCTGTGTCTGCTGCTCTAGTAACTGGCTAATAATGCTCAGAAAGTAAAGCTATGGGGGGGGGGAGGATGGGAAGGGATGGGAAGGGGAAACAAAGGAGGAGGCTACAATGCTTGATAAGAAATATACTCATTATCTTGTCCATGTAATTGTAACCCCTCTGAACAGTATTTTCACAATAAAAAATAATGATTTGTAAAATACTAAAAAAATAAAAAAAAGTAAAGATATGTCTTCATATTCAGCTTCCAGCAGGAAGTACAGAACACACTGCAGGCACCCAATGCATTATTGACGATCTTACCAAGCCTTGCATGGAAGAATTAGTAGATAATGATTAAATCACAATATGCATTTCCCTGCCCTCTTACCCCACCATACTGAATACATGTTAAGAACTGGTTACAGGAGGGGGTAACAATGCTCAATAGGAAGTGTACTCACTACCTTGCTCATGTAGCTGTAACCCTCTGTATAGTATCTTTACAATAAAAAAAAATTTAAAAAAGAACTGGTTACATAGGAATTTACAGAAATAAAAAGCACCATACTGGCTTATTCTACACTTTTCTCTATGCAGACTTCCCTCCACCCTTCTGTGCTCATCTGGCTGCCCTGTAGGAATCTCTGGCTGGGTTTTTCAAAGGAAGGTATTAGTAATGTGCACCATAATTCTGCTAGGTGACGGTGTCTGCTTCCAGGCTTCAACGCTTGCAAGAGTATGATAATGCTGTCATCTTCATCCCTTGAGGAATCAGCATGGAAGTTTTTGAGGTGTTTGTTTGAATATTCTTTATTCCTGGTCCACAGTATTAGAAATAAAGTTATTATTATTACTAGCTGGAAGTTAAGTGTTCCTACTTCATTGTGCTTCATTCCTGCTTCATTCTTAGCATAAGATTCCCTTTGGACCTTGGTCTGTAGCCAGACACATCTGTCCTTTGGCATGTCTGAAACAGGTGTTATGATAAATTTCATTATTCAGGGCTGGGAAGGTAGCTCAGTGGTAGAGCACTTGCCTTGCATACATGAGGCCCTGGTTTCGATTCCTCAGCACCACATAAGCAAAAAGAAAAAAAGCCAGGGCTGGGAAGGTGGCTCTGTGGTAGAGGATTGCCTTGCATGCATGAGGCCCTGGGTTCGATTCCTCAGCACTACATAAGCAAAAAGCAAAAAGTTGGAAGTGGCGCTGTGGCTCAAGTGGTACAGTACTAGCCTTGAGCTGAAGAGCTGCAGGATAGCACCCAGGCCCAGAGTTCAGGCCTCATGACTGGCAAAACAAAAAAACCTGTTCACAGAACAATGACCCGGCAGGTATCATATAAATGCCCCTGCTGTGAATGTGCCCCAGACTTCCTGCTTGTCTGTTGTCTGTCTGCTTACTCAATAAAGCTCTGCTAAGTTTCCTTAGCATTATAACTCGTCCACACTTTCTTATTCTTCCATCAAAGTTAAGGACTCCAGGTGACACATCCCTACTTTCAGAGGGCAACTGTCAGCGTCCATCAGGGCCGGGTGACACAAGGCTCCCATGAAACCATGGGGTCCCACTTCGCAGCCAGGAGTGAGCACAATTGATGGCTGGAGGACTGACCCCCACCCTGTTTTGCCAGGTGCTCACAGACACCAGGCAAGCCACCAAAGACATGCACATACTCCCGGACACACTGCATTGTGAGCCTGGCCTATAAGGCTCTGAGACCACTCTGTGAGGCCAAGAAAGGGTTAAGAGGGTGAAAGTCAAACTGTCTGGGCTGGACAGATGTGGAGCTGTGTGAACATTAAAAAGCGTGAGACCTTGGATGAGGGGCACTTACCCACATCTCTGCCTGCACCTGCAGTCACCAACCTCCCACTATACTCAGGTAGCCCCAGTCTGCTTGCTCAGACTCTATGAAACCCCTAGCTCCAGTCCTGCCCCTGACACTCATCTCCAAGCCCTAGGGAAGGCTGTGTCCGTGTCCCTTGCTGCTCTATCTCAATAAACAGTACTCACCTGTGGAAGGGCGCGTGTGACCTGTTTCCTTCCTTTCTCCTCCTTTTTCGTAACAATGGTCACAGACTCAGTGGATTGAAGGGAGCAGCAGGGGGTGCAGGAGGCTGGTCTGGGGTTTGCTCCCCATCCCGGGTTTAGGGTATGGTCTGTCAATCCAGTAACTGGAAGCACAGGCAGGTTGTTTCCTCTAGCAGCACTTTAACTGCCTCTTACTCAGAACAAGTATTTAAAACATAACAGTTTGCATGATGATGAGGGGAAGGGCAGCCTGGCAAACTTCTCCTCTGTGTCAGTCATCAGGGTCCTGGTTTTCCAGGGAAACAGTTGGTTTCTGCATGGCGGAGTGGGGAGGAGAAAAGAAGGAAGGAAGGGAGAGGAAGATTGGTTCCTGAGAGGCTGACTGGGCCTGGGGAGTGAGGGCCTGGGGCTTGAGGGGTAGAGGAGCTGGGGCAGCGGCGGAGGTGGGCGACCAGGGGGCTGGGAGGGGGAGCTCGGGGTCCCCATGGGAACGTGGGGACCTTGTTCGTTCTGAGCACTGGACCTGAAGTCTCTGCCCCAGGACTGCTGGCCTGGTACCAGGGACAGGAAATGGTGTGGGGGAAAGCTGGGATTCCAGGAGGCTTTGGAGGAAGGGAGATAAGAGAGAGGAAAGAGCAGGAGGTGGGTCAAGGGTCTGAGGGGTTGTGGCTCCCAGTAGTGCTGGAGGATTCTAGAAGAGGGTTCCCTAGGCGGATACTGTAGATAAGTAGGAGTTCGGGATGGGGAGGCCTGGACCAGGTGTGGAAGACCCAGTTTCAGACCCAGGCCGGAACTCCCTGTGGGAGGCAGGGCAGGGGCCCTGGGAGGGGGGAGGGAGGCGGCGCTGGGGCAGGCGCACAGGACACTTCAGGCCTTACAGTCGGTGGTAACTTTATTCCGTGACAGTGACCCCCCAGTGCACAGCGGGTGCCCCCCCCACCCCAAGCTGCATTCCTGCTCCGCAGAATTCCCCCCTCCCCTCCCACCCCGACTGTCCCGCCACCCCGAGAACCCCAGAAGGCAAAAGCTGATGGAACCGGATCACAGCGGGCAGGGTGTGACCTAGGAGACCGGAAGAGAAGGACTCAGGGCGCGCGCCGGGGCGCAGGCCCCGCCCACGCAGGCCCACCTGCAGGTGAGCAGGGCCCCGCCCACAAGGCCCCGCCCACACAGGCCCACCTGCAGGTGGGCAGGGCCCCGCCTGCAGGAGCAGGGCCCCGCCCACACAGACCCCTCCTATATAAGCCCCGCCCACACAGGCCCCGCCCACACTGACCCACCTGCAGGTGAGCAGGGCCCCGCCCACACAGACCCCGCCCACACAGACCCCGCCTGCAGGTGAGCAGGGCCCCGCCCACACAGATCCGCCTGCAGGAGCAGGGCCCCGCCCACACAGGCCACGCCCACACAGACCCGCCTGCAGGTGAGCAGGGCCCCGCCCACACAGACCCGCCTGCAGGTGAGCAGGGCCCCGCCCACACAGACCCGCCTGCGCCCCACCCACACAGGCCCCGCCCACACAGACCCGCCTGCAGGAGCAGGGCCCCGCCCACACAGACCCGCCTGCAGAAGCAGGGCCCCGCCCACACGTCCCAGTCCCGACCTCCCACTGGTCCAGCCTGCCCATGCCCCGCCTCTTGGCGCGAGTCCCCGCCCCCGAGCACCGCCGCCCGGCCCCGCGCGCCCCGCCTCACCCGCTGCTCGCTGCGGTCTCAGGACCGCGGAGCGCCCAGGCTCAGGAGCAGAAGGCCTGCGGTCACCAGGAGGCCAGGGGCGGCCGGGCCGCGGGCCGCGCTGCGCTCCGCGTTGCGCTCGGGTCCCAGGGTAGAGGCCTCGGCCTTTGCCGTCGTCGTCGGGGTCCTGGGGGCAAAGGCCGCGCGGCTGCGGAGCTGCTCGGGGGACCGCCGCGCGGGGTCGGGTCCTGTCTGGGGGCGGGGTCACCTGGGGCGGGTCCTGTCTGAAGGCGGGGTCACCTGGGGGCGGGGTTCTCCGAATGGGGTCCTGTCTGGGGGCGGGTCCTGTCTGGGGCGGGGTGACCGGGGCGGGTCCTGTCCTGGGCGGGGTCACCGGGGCGGGTCCTGTCCTGTCTGGGGCGGGGTCACCGGGGCGGGTCCTGTCCTGTCTGGGGGCGGGGTCACCTCTCCCGTCTGCGGGGCGGGCGGGTCTCCGACCTGAGCCGCTCCAGTTCGGCCTCAGCGTCCCGCAGCCTCTGCCTCAGCCTCGCGTTCTCCTCTGGGCGGCAGGGGAGGGGGCGGTGAGGAGGAGGGAGATCTGGCCCGACCGGGACCCTGTCCACGTCCCCCCCCGGCCCGGTCCGCCCCGCCGCCCCCTCACCCCGGAGGCCCCGGATCTGCTCCTGCCGCTCGCGGTTCTCGGAGTCCGTCCTCTCCAGGTCGGCGGCCAGAGCGTCCTGGAGACGCCACAGGGTCAGGCGCGTGCGGGCCCGGCTGGGCGTGCGGGGCCCAGGCGGGGGACGGG